ACTGGGATGTACCATGTGCTGGTGAGGCTAGGAATAGGAAGTAATACAGTTAAATATGTGGCTAAAGAGCTGGTGTAGGAGGGAGAGCTTCAGGTATTTGGATCATTGGGATGTCTTCTGGGGCCAGTGGGACCTGTACAAGACGGACTAGAAGGACTGGTTGCATCTAAGTTGGAAGGGCACCAATATCTGGGCAGGGAGTTTTGCTAGTGTCACTCAGGGCAGTTTACACTAGTGTGGCAGCAGGGTGGGAACCAGAGTAGTGGGTCAGCAAGTAAAATGAATGAGGAGGAGTCAGAGGCTAAGGCCAGTAAGGCTGAAAGGAAGAAAAGACAGAGAGCTTACTGAACGCAATGGGACTAATGGTCTGAGGTGTATTTGTTTTCATGCGAGGAATGTGACCGGTGATGTGGATGAGCTTGAATTAGGACATATAACTATGATGTTGTAGCTATTACAGAGACTTGTTGAGGGAGGAACAAGACTGACGGCTTAACGTTCCAGGATTTAAATACTTCAGACAAGATAGAGAGGTTGGGGGGGAATTACGTTCTTGCTAAGGAAGAATATCATAGCTCTACTGAGGGAGGGCACCTTGAAGGGCTCATCCAGTGAGGTCATGTGGATAGAGCTCAGCAATAGGAAGGGTGCAACCACTTTGGAAGGGGTTGAGCTACAGGCCTCCCAACAGTCAGTGGGAGACAGAGGAACAGATATGCGAACAGGTTATGGAAAAACATAAAATCAACAGGGTTGCTGTCATGGGTGATTTTAACTTCCCCTTTATTGGTCAGAACTCCTTTAGTAATTTCAAAGGTTTCTTGAAACAATATGTGGATAGTTCAAGAGGGGAGGTGCAGTACTAGACCTTGTATTGGGAAATCAGCCTGGCCAGGTGATTGAACATTCAGTGGGAACAATCATTTTGGGGTGGCATGGTGGCTCAGTGGTTAGCACTGCTGCCTCACAGCACCAGGGACCTGGGTTCGATTCCAGCCTCAGGCAACCGTCTGTGTGGAGTTTGCACATTCTCCCTGTGTCTGTGTGGGTTTCCTCCCACAGTCTAAAGATGTGCAGGTTAGGGTGGATTGGCCATGCTAAATTGTCTGTAGTGTTCAGGGAGGTGTAGATTAGGTGGGTTACAGGGGGATGGATCCGGTTGGGATGCTCTGAGGGTCAGTGAGGACTTGTTGGGCCTGAGGACTTGTTGGGCCAAAGGACTTGTTTCCACACTGTAGGGATTCTATGATAATGCTGTAAGTTTTAAGATAATTATGGAGAAGGCTAAGACTGGTCCTCGAGTGAAAGTGCTAAACTGGGGGAAGGCTAATTACAACTATATTAGGTAGGAACTGGAGAAATTAAAGGTTGGGAGGAGCTGTTTGAGGGTAAATCCACATCTGACCTAGAGTCTTTTAAAGGCCAGTTGATCTGAGTTTAAGAAGGAACATGTTCCTGTGAGGATGAAAGATAAGGATGGCAATATTCAGGAACCCTAGACAACAAGAGATATTGAAGGATCTGTCAAAAAGAAAACAAAAGCATGTGTAAGGTTTTTAAAACTGAAATCAAACAAGAACTTTGAGAAATATAAAGGAAACAGGAGAGAATTTTAGTAAGGAATTAGGAGGCAGAAAGGGGCAATGAAATGTCAGGATTAAGGAGAATCCAAAGGCATTATATGCATATATTTGGAGCAAGAGGGTAGCTAGGAAAACAGTAGATCCACTCGAGGACAAAGGAAGCAAGTTATGCACAGAGCCAGAGGTAGTGGATGAGGTCCTTAATAAAAACTTCACATCGGTTTTCACCAAGGAAAGGGACGTGGATGATGGCAAGATTAGGGAGGGGTCTATTTATATTTTGGGGCTTGTTGATATTAAGAAGGAGGTGACATTGGGAACACATTAAGATAGAGAAGTGCCCGGGGGCTGATGGGGTCTATCCCAGGATACTGAGGGAGGCAAAGGAGG